GGGGAGACTTCAGTTTACATGGTGAATGGAACGTGTGCATTTGTCTCCCTTTCCTTTTAAAATTCCAACAAAATAGTAGTAAAGGATTAATGAAAAGTATGCCTCATGGTTGAGAGAGAGGGAAAGGGAGAGGGAGAGGGAGGGAGGAAGAGAAAGAGAAAGAGAGAGAGAGGGAGAGGCGGGGGTGGGGGGGAAAGAGAAGCAACACTATAGAAATGGTGAAGACAAGATTTTGGAAACCAGAAAGCAAAAGATCAAGTGGTAACACACATAGGGACTGCAGAAAGCCTGGATAGGTAGAGGACAATAAAAAGCTAGCCGATTCATACTACAGATTCATGCTGTGGAAACCTTAAAATACCCCAAATTGGAAACATCCTATTACCTCTGAAGCTGGAGGTACAGGATAAAACTGGAAACAAGATAAAGTGAAAGTCTTTCTGAAGAGCCCTTCCCCCACTCTGGCTCTCTTTCCTCCAGCAGAAGGCTAAAGGCTAAAGGAGTCAATGAAAGTCTGCTCACTGAACAGTAACTCGTTCAGTCCCTGGTTCCTAGGCTTATATCCTCAGATAGGAGATTGGAAGATTTCTCCATGGAGAAACTAACTGGCTGAAAGGAAAGATCTATAGATAATAATATTTGTGGATTCTCCAGTGAAACACCTGGGCCCTTGCCTGATCTCTCTAGGCAGTAGAACGTTCTGGTTGATGAGTCCCGTCCCTGCAGGTAGAGCTTTCAGTTAGCATTTTAGCATCTTACTTAAATGTAATCAGATGAAGATCACCAAGCATTTGAGGAAAGACTAATGTGACAGACATCAAAACCAACACAAATAAACAAACAACCAAACACACAGAAACCCAGGAAACAGGGAGTGCACAGAGAAAAAGAAAAAAATTACATGATAAGATCCTCATAAAACTTGAAGAAGATATATCCATGGAACGAGAAGACGAGACTTAAAAAAGAGAACATTCGGAGAACAAGAAAGTATTCTTGGAAATTAAAAATTAAAAATATGAGAGCAGGACATTTTTAAAAATCAAAAGAAAGGGTGAAAGATAAAGTTAGAGAATTTCCAAGAAGTAGAACAAAAAATACAGAGAAAAGAAAATTTGAGGATTCATCTGGGAAGCTAAATATCTAGTAGGAATTTCAGAAAGAGCACAGGGAAAATGGAGGAGAGGAAATTATTCATGAAAGAATACAAGAAAATTTCTTAGAACCAAAGGATCTAGGTTTTCAGATTAAAAGGGCATGCCTAACGTTTGGCATACAAATTGAATAAGATTGATATCAGTGTGAAATTTTAGAACACTAGGAAAATAAAGAAGAAATTTCTAAAAGGTTTTCAGATCACTACAAAGAATCTGTAATTGAAATGGCATCAGACTTCTCAATAGAAACTCTGGAAATTGAAAGAAATGAAGCAATACCACCAAAATTCTAAATGAAAATTATTTATAATTTATAAATTTATACAAAGCCAAATATAATCAAATGATAAGGGTAGAATAAAGGCATTCACAGACTTGCAAGGTTTCAAAAATTTTACCTCACATGCATCCATTTCTTAGGAGGTTCCTCAAGGATGTGCCTCAGCACTTTGAAAAAGTCAACCAAGAAAGAGGAAGAAATGAAATCCAAGAAACAAAATCAGTAAATTACTTGATGAGTTTGAATACATTGAGAGGATATTTATACATTAGTCCCCCCTTATATGTGGGGGATACATTCCAAGACCACCAGTGGATGCCTGAAACTGGATAGTTCTGAACTCTATACATAGTATGTGTTTTCCTACACACATATGCCTTTTCACTTTAAAGAAGTACTTCATGGCTTCTTTTGGGCATATCTGAATTGCCAGCATCACTATTCTTGCACATTGGGACCATTATTAAGTAAAATAAAGGTTACTTGAACACAAGCACTGTAATACTGTGATAGTGGATTTGATAAACCAGCTGGCTACTAAGTGACTAAATATCAGGTAGTGGATACAGTGTGGATATGCTGGACAAAGAGATGTCCCAGGCGGGATGGAGTAGGAAGGCATGAGATTTCATCACGCTACTCAGAACTGTGCATAATTCAAAACTTAGGAATTGTTTATTTCTGGAATTTTTCATTTAATATTTTCAGACCGCAGTTGACTGTGGGTAATTAAAACTTTGGAAAGCGAAACCACCTATAAGGGGGGACTACTATAGTTCTATAAGAAAGGTTGAAGAAAAATTAATAATAAATATATAGAAAGTAGGGCAAAAATATAATTATTAACCCCTTTAAAAACCAAAAAGTTGTACAGGAATGTATGTATACTATGGTAGTATACTTATGATAGTATACTATGGAGTTCAGGCATCGAAGAGTTAGAGTCAACGAATGTAGAATCATCTTTGGATTAATTTGATGTTGAATGTAAGAAATATTTTCCCTCCCTTCCTCCCTCCCTGCTAATAAAATCTTATAAAGATGAAAAGATGCCCCAAGAGGCAAAGCTTTAAGAAGAACATATCTCAGGTAGTTTTGCAATAGTATTCAAGTTTCTCATCCAAAAGTTGGCTGCAGTGGGAATAGATTAACCCTGGTGTAACCTCTCTGCTTCAGAACAGAGACTTGAGGAAGTCAGGTTCTGGAAGAAGGAGTTAGATGACAAACTTGAGCAGCTTGTGTATGTGACTGAAGATCTACTCACATATAAGACCAGATTGGAGAAAGCCCTGGAGAGCTTGAAAGAGCCCTTGCACATCACTCAGACGTGCCTGGAATATAGGTAGGAGGGAAGGTTCCTCCAATGAATCATCTGTTGTGAGAAATGAAATGCTGGGTAGTAAAAACTGCCTGTGCTGGGTGGTGGGTTAAAATGAGACAAATGAGCATGTGTTCATTTAGAGCCTGAAATTATCTCAGCATGCCCGTGGTGCTGGGCAGTGGAAGCAGCACTGGACTGGGTTCATGTCTAAACTTTGCTCTTGACTAACTTAAATATAAGTTAGGACTAGGTTTGGCTGTGGGTGATCAGAAAACCACAAAATAACACTGAACTTAAATAAGATAGTTTCTTTCTCTCTCAGATTTAAGGAATCTGGAGATAGTTCAGGGTTGGCATACTGTCAGGGTTCCAGGCCTTTTGTATTCTGTTGCTCCACTGCACATGGCTTTTACTCTTAAGGTTACCTTGTGATTCAAGATGGCAACTAGAGCGCAAGCCATTATGTCTACATTCTAGCAAGCAGGAATAATTAAGGTTTGGCATTCACCATTTCTACTTGCATCTTATTGATCAAGTACATGTTACTATATGCCTGGTACTGTACTGTCTGCTTTTATATCTCATCAGTTCCTTGCCACAACCCTATGAAATACTAATTATTATCCTTATTTCACAGAAGAAGAAACCAAGGCATAGGTAAATTATACAATGTGCCTAAGGCCACACAGCTGGTGAGTGGTGGAGCCTTCCTCCCAGACACTTTCATGCAAAGTAGAAAAGAACAAAATATCAGGCAGTGACCAGTCAATTTTAGGAGTAACATAGCATAGTGGTTAAAAACATGCATAATACCCAGTTTTGTAGCCTTGAGCTTAACCTCTCCAAAACTGTTTCCTCACCTGGACTTGAAAATGCTAATTAAGTGAGAAGATTCATATGAAAAGCTCAGCACAATGCTTGTCACATAATAAATGCTGAGTGGTGGGGGTAATATTAATGTTGGCATTATGATTAGTATTATTATTATAAAGCATCTTTCTGGATTCAAATTTTTGTTAAAAATGGAACTAGGATCAAGGTAGGAAACATGTCTTTGAAGTTTTAAGCCAAGAGAAATGTTTCTAGTAAATAGATAAAAAGAAAAAGGCTTCAGAATTGATGACCAAATTGAGGGAGACACGTCCATCTGGCATTTTTCAGACCAAGTGATCAATCAATCAATCACCGATCAATTTTTCTTCATTGTGTTTTGGAGTTTTTCAAGGCTCAGAGACACCAGCTAGTGTACATCCTTGGCCACATCATCCAGATGGATTGGGTGCTACTCAAACTATTTGTCCGGATAATTTTAAATGTCCAGATGTTAGCAAATATTGAATTGCCTCCCTCCACGTGTTGGACTGATCTGCCGACTTTCTCTGGTCAGGGAGAAGCGAGTTGGCATTGACCTGGTGCATGATGAAGTGGAGCAGGAACTGGTAAAGGAGGCTGAGATCATCCGGGGGGTGATGGCCCTGCTGACCCGCACCCTGGAGGAGACGACTGAGCAGATTAGGTATTGGTGTCCGGGGCCACTCTCCACATCTCCACTGCACATAGCTAGAAAAGGCAGTGCCCACAAAGGCCGGGCTCCATGGCACGGAAAGAATGGGGATCAATACTGTTATGAGCACTTTCCATGCTGGGAGGCTGCCTGGAGCACTCATGCTGAGGCCTGGACAACCTCTCATACTCGACAGTCGCCCTCTTGTGGTGGGTGGGGAATGGGCTGGATTTCACCCCTGATTATAAACTGAAGCATACCGGAGCTGTTTTTTTTTTTGCAAGGGCTGACCTCTCACATACACTGTACCACAGTAGTGACATCAGGAAATGTCACAGTTGGAGGGAGGATCTTGAAGTCCAGGCTTGGTTACTTTAATTTGTCACAAGCATCTAATGGTATATATGTGTGTGTGTTGGGCGGGGGGTGGGCGATGGGGGAGGTGATGGAAGGTGGGGAAAGAGGTGCCGCCATCCTATACTAGACCAAGCTTTAGCTTCATTTGCCAGGGTCTCCCAAGAAACTGTAGTTGCCACATGGGCATTCCAGAAGGAGAAATCTTTAC